ATCAATTTTAAATCCTGCTTTTTATTTGTTCTTGTTTCTAATGTCTCTGTAAAGCACTTTGAATCACCTTGTTGTTGAATTGTGCTATACAAATAAACTTGCCTTGCCTTGAAGCACTGAGAGTCTGCCTGGCAGGAAGAATCCAGCGACTGGAAGGACGGGTTCATTATTATTACTTATGTTTGCAGAGCTCGTCATATTATTCTGACATGACTATTGATCCAGATGAACTTTACACTCATTTATCAGTTTTATATAAGTTAGAGGTGAGCACTGCTGTCTTACCACTTTAAATAGTTTGTGTGTGTGGTTTCAGAGTAGAGTCCATCCTGGTATTTGGGGGGATTCGGGACCAACGCGCAGGAATACTTGAGACCAACTCTAAAAATGCGTGTTTAATATCATCATATCTACCTTCAGCTATCATCTGAAAACACTTTGCAAACATCTTTTTTTCCTGGGAGCGTCGTGTTTGGAATTTTAAAGAAAAAAACATTTATTAATTTTTTGCTGTGTTTACATTGTTATTAATATTTAAAAATTAGTATTTTTGATCATAAAAATGTATTTACTCACAAAAATAAAATGAAAACGATCAGCAAATATTTTAGAAATGCTCTGAAAAATTCAGCGAATAGACAAATTTTCCGTCGCCCAGAAAAGCTGTCCGAGTGTTCGTTCTGCTGTCTGTCTATGAAGCTCCTTAACACTGAACAATAATCAATAATCAGTGAATACTCTCTGCCGTCGGTGATCCGCCGGCGTGTTTCACACTTACTGTAAAATGACCTGAAAATCAAATCTTTAGAAATAAGAATCAAAGAGCTCTTCAGTCACACGTGTCGTAAACGTGCGATGGACACGAGAACACACCCACAGACTTGCATCAGCCGAGGTCTCGCTGTACGAGCCGTCGGCCGGCCTATCAGAGAGGTTATCACACAGGCACGTGCTGTCTGACTGGACTAGGAGAGATGCTTTTGTTGCATCATTCAGCACACACACTCTGTCTCTCTTCCACAGCATGTCTTTATCCTGTCTTCCTTCTCTCACCCCAACCAATCACAGCAGATGGCCCCGCCCCTCCCTGAGCCTGGTTCTGCCGGAGGTTTCTTCCTGTTAAAAGGGAGTTTTTCCTTCCCACTGTCGCCAAAGTGCTGCTCACAGAGGATGGTCTGATTATCAGGGTTTCTTTCTGATATTGTGGGGTCCTTACAGTAAAAAACACCTTGAGGTGAGTGTTGTTATGAATTGTAATCGGACAGCTGCGTGGTTTCAAGTTCATTAATAATTGTACTAAATGTCACTTCGCGAGTTTTACAGTTGTGCACATGATGCAAGGTAGAAGCAGCCACGGTTGTTGGTTGCATTTACAGTCAACCCCATGTTGGCTTTTATGGAACCAGCAGTGACCATATTTGGATGAGAGGGCGGACGTTATGTCAGCTGGCGTGCCCGGTAAACACACCAACACGCTCTAATGACACCTCCACCGAGCTCCTGAGATTGATGATGCTCAGCAGCACTTCTGTTTCGGCACGCATGAGCGCGGCGTGCACAGAAACACCCGAGCCGACTCGGCTTCAGCTTTCAGGACTCACTCCTGCAGCGCCTGATTGGTTGGTGCTGAGTCCATACAGATGTCGTACCAATGAATTATTACGAGTAAATTAGTGAAGCAGAGAATGACGCGGTGCGATTGAAACACTCATTTATTCATTACTGAATGCTGCCATGTGACTGGTCAGTATCTGTGCACGGATGAACTTTTACCTGAAAACAAAACAATCTGTTTTAAAAATATAACAGACTTTGTCATCGATGTATTTCATCCTCAGTGTGGACACATTATTCACTCCAAGTTATCACAAAAACTAAAAATGACAGGAAACCCTGCAGTTTCTGAGCGATGTCGCCGTGTCGTCGGTGACGGTGCTGCGCTCGATGTCAGCGGCGCCTCCGTCTCCCGAGGAGGCGTCCGGGTTTCCTCTATTTGTTCTTGCCGAGCGTCCTCTGTTTCTCGGCGTGCTCCACTATCTTCTCCTCCACGTACAGCCCTTTGCGGCGGCGGACGGCGTTCATGTATTTCAAGGCCTGGTTTTCAGAGTCGGCCTTCTCGCCGAAGTGCAGGTATTCTTCCTCGGTGGTGGGAACCCAGTAAGGATCGCTGCTGATCACCTGGGACACAGACGGGATCAGTGTCTTCATCTGAACACAAACCACAGAGCTGCGTAGCAACATCTACAGTATCATAAAAACATAAACCAACCAAATAATAATCACACGAGACGCGAAGCCAGAGGGACGGCTCTGCAACCGTTTCAGTCACCATGGTAACTTGTCACCTGGTCTGGGGCAGCTTATGGTTTTTGGATAAACGTCACAAAAATAACTCCTAATCCTAATATCTGCTGGAATTAAATCTTCAGGCACGCGGCGAGGACGTGGACCGGGCTGGGGGGGTTGGACCTGAATGTCAGGAGTTCGGCGCTTCGCAGCGTCTCAGCTGTCGAGTGAAACGGCGGTGCTGACGGCGCACCGGGCGGTAAAACGAACAGCTTCCTGCTCTCGTCTCAACTTTTGCTGTTGTTCTATATTTTTATTGATCTCCACCAACCACGGATAACACCTGTGAGGTGGGAGGAGCCAGCAGGTTTTCATGTGAGCGTGCACAGAGCCTGGGTTAACAGGCCGTGAGAGCTGACTTTGAGGTTTAGTTGAGCTGCGAACAGAAAGCGCGGCTTCCCAGTACAACCACAGTGAGCTGAAATGTTAAGTCACAGACAAAAAGACGCGGCGTGATGATCCTCAAAGTCCCGGCAGGACGTTTCCTCCTGCTTCCATCTTAATGCTGTGAGACTTCTCGGGATACGACTCCAGCTAACATTCCTGACTCGCCTCAGTCAGCTGATAGTCTGAAATATCAAATGACGTCTTAAATGATATAATCAATGAAACAAAAACTGTTGATCCACTGAGCGACATTTGGATTATTCGCTTCATAAAGACGGCAGCAGCTCCTTCTGCACTGAAAGGACTGTTAACACACACACACACACACACACACACACACACACACACACACACACACACACACACACACACACACACACACACACACACACACAGCTACAGTAGCACCAGTACACTGGGGCACCTGGCTCTGGTTACACTGGGGCAGATGGTAGTGAGCGAGCTACAACAACGGGCGGCTTGCAGGAGGCAGCGCACACCACACGTGAGCAGCATATGCCGGAGCACAAAGGGACGCAGCAGGAGGGGGCGGCGAGGGACGAGGCGTCCTGCAACAGTCAATTAAGCCGGTGGACGCACAGAGTCTCAGACGCAGGAAGACGTTAAGCTCGTTTCGGCTGATCGTTCACGTGGAAACGACACAAAAGGCAGAAAAGTTCAAACACAAACTAAAGTGACGTCATAGAGAAGCGAGGACGGCGCACGCTAACAGATGGACGACTAATCGTCTCTGTGTAGAAACACAGTTTTCATGCGCAGCTTTTTTTCCTGCTGTGTCACATTTTGTCTCACAAACACATCAGGAACATCACCGAGGCCGCCGCCGTGGGCGATTCCACGAATGCTTCGGCCTTTTCAGAGCCCCCGTTGGTCGAACGAAGTTCAGCGGGAAGTTACCGAAAGCAGGCGGCAACGTCAACATGCAGGAAAAGATGAAGAAGATAAAAACACGACTGCAGCGTCGGAAAACTGAAGGAATCACTCGTGAAAACTGCCGCAGCAGCTCTAAGAGCAGAGGCTTCACACGCTCCCCGCCGCGACCTCGTTGTTTCGGTCACTAACCGAGCCTCGGGACCATAGTTGAGGTCAAAGGTCATATTGTCAGCCACAAACACCTCACAAATGCACCTGGCTTATACTGAATCCACGTTGGAAACAATCGGTTCAACGAGCTTCATGAACGAAACATGTTCTCAGGCAGCAGAGCGGAAATCTGCGGAAACGTGGCGATTTGAAACCAAAACATGACCTGCTCCAGGTGGTTATGTGGTCAGCATCAGTTACCGTGGTGATTTGGCCGGGTTTTGACCTTTAACCTTGAGATTACAAAGTGATAACTGACATCGATTTTTCTGACTCCCCCCCCCCGAGCGTCGTCTGCAGTTTGTCATCAGTTAAAATCTGCATTTATTATTTGTGAGCAGTAGCTGTAGACTGTAGCTTATTTATTAGCTACAGTCAGGCTCTGAGTTTTATCAGGCCTCCAAAAACCAACAATGTGTCGCACACACGCAGACGCACACATGTAGCGGCAGACAGATGTCTCGGCCGATCAATACGCGACTCGCTCGCACAATTCTCCGGCGCGCAGCTCGACAAAAGCTCCATTCTGATGGAAATCTAATGTAAACGTCCCCACAGGAGCCACTAAACCTTCCAGTTACACAACAACGCCACGCTGACAATCACCTCTCCGCCTCGCCGCTCATTCATATGTAAATCCGATATCCCGGTCATATCAAACGGCTGTCAGAGGAATGCTGACATCGGCACTGAGCAGCGGGACGGTCCTGAAGCTGGGGGGGTGGGGTCTTTGTGAGGACGCGTCTGCACAGAAATGAGATCAGACAGACAACTTTTAATGAGGTGAAGACAAAAGGCAGCGAGACAATGAGGCTGCTGGACGTGTGTGTGTGTGTGTGCGCAGCTACATGTGGTTTCAACACTGATCTGTTATTTTAAAAGACATCAAACCAGGACGCAGGACCAGGCTCCAACCACCAACACCTGCCTCACCTCAGCCGATTCATAGATGCATTAAATCTGCACTGTCGACGGTCCTTCTTTGACCTTTGTCGCCTCACTGCCAGGACAAAGCGCCGGCAGTCCTCCTTTAAGAAGCCAGTGTCTGCAGCCTGACCTGCAGCCTCGCAGGTCAGGCTGCAGAAGCATCGTCTCCCTGGATGGCTCAACAAAATTTACCCGTCATCTGCATGCAGGAGCATGCCCGCGCTCCTGCAGGAGAGGAGGGCTTGTGCACGACAACAGACACCACCCGAAGTACGCCAGGGATCCAACAAACTACCCGCCGTCCGCGGCAGAAAGCAAAGATGCCACAGTGCAGCACCAGGCTGGAGCTGAAGGACGCCCCACACGCCTCTGCTGTACAGACACAGTAGGAGGTTTTATATCATATTTTATTTATTGAGGTGTTCACAGCTGGTTCTCTACACTAACCTCGGTGTAACTCCCGGTAAAGCAGAGAAAATCAAACTAATGTGAAATATAAAGACTGGAGGAGCAGAGCGCAGTCAGTAACCGCGGCGGATTAACGGCCTCACTATTAGAAAACATCTTCTGTGAGTTTTCCTGCACCTGATCGGCGCGCTCTTAATAAATACCGAAGCATTAATAACAAAGCGAGATCGCTCTGCAGCACGCCGACTCATCTCTTCCTCTTCACAGACAACTTGACCTATAATCCCGCCCGACGCTGATACGCGTGTCTGCGGCGGCTCGAGCCAGCCAAGCGGCCGGTATGACGGCCTAACGCGCACGCCGTCTATCGCGGCTTTGACTCCAGCTCCCCCTCGGCAGCCGTCTCGTTAACCAGATGGCCTCGCTGACCCGCAGCTCCACATAACGAGCTCAGGCAGACTGATCTGCGAGCGCGCGGCCTCGATCACACCTGCCATCGACCTGTGGCTCGGACGATCCAATCACGCGTGGACACGTGTCTGCATGCGTCCTCATTGAGCCGCTCCGTGTCCATGTTAGTGGTCAGATAATCACATTAAAAATGCTCCAAGAGGTCTGCAGCTACACCACCTGAGTCAGCATCCACCTCAAAGAGGCCCTCGCCCACTGCTGCAGAGGGCGGACAGGCAAAGTCTCCTCACCTCCCAGTGGCTGAACACCAGCTGCGGACTGGCCAATCCGCTCGTCCTCTTGCGGATCTCGTCTGCAAACCCAAAGCTCTCAGCCACGGGCAGCACGGCCTTGATGGTGAACATGTCCGTCCCTTCCTTCATCTCTTCGTGGAGGACTCGGCCTTCTCGCTTCCCGAGTACCCCGTAAACACGACCTGGAGGAAGAAACGCAGCAGTCAGGACACTCGGCAGACTCGCCGCAAGGACCGAGTCCAAGACCTGGAACAGAGACCGAGTCCAGTGCAACACAAACGTCATAAATCAGTACGAATAAATACAGAAAAACAACCGATACAGAGACTGAGCCGTGATTCAGCAGAGGTCTCTGTGCTTCTTAATCAACCAGGCGCCTCGCTCTGCCGCCGCGGCGCTGATTCGGCTGACGGAGCGCTTCTCCGCTGCGGCGGATCCTAACAGGCCTGCAGATATTGTTTACCAACACAGTAAACGCCGTTTCAAGCCTCATTTTCATCTTAACGACTTTCAGAGGACAACAACTTAGCGAGTGCGATGGAGCATTAGTCAACCCTGAGACAAACTGTGACATTTACAGGACATCTCACCCTGAAAACGAGGGTGTGTGTGTGTGTGTGTGTGTGTGTGTGTGTGTGTGTGTGTGTGTGTGTGTGTGTGAGGGGTACAGTCATGGATAACGTGACTGTGCCAGGCTTGTTTCTGTCTGTGAGAATGACGGCGGCTGATTGGTCACAGGTCAGGCTCAGCGGACCTTCAGGTCCTAATGTCCACCTGCTGCTACAGTCTGTGCAGGAAGTTAAACATGCGTCTGCAGGAATACACGGAAGAGCAGACGACGGATTCCTGCAGCAGCGCATTTCCTGTAAGTGTGTCGTTAGTGCGAATGGATGTTTGCACCAATCAGCAGAGACCAGCACGCCAAACAACGCAGCAAAACTACGACGTGTTTGTGCGACGACGGCGTGCAGCAGCGCTCTCTTACCCAGCACGTCCGCGGTGGCCATGATCTCACAGGTGTACATGGCGGCCATGAGTCTCTGCGGCTGAGCCTGGAAGGCGTGCCGGCAGGCCTCCTTCACAGCAGCGATCAGCTGACCGGAGACTGGCCCGTAGCAGTCGGAGGAGGCGGCGACCTCCGGCCTGCGTCTGGCGTGGCTCTGCCCCGCTGCTGCGCCCTCCACCCGTGCAGACGTCTCGCTGCTTCCTTCCACGTTACTTTCCGGCGTAGCCTCGTGGCGCGTGGAGTCCTCTTCTACGGAGTCCTGGCGTTGCGGCGGGGCAGCGGACTGGACGTCCCACCTCTCCACAGAGAAGCAAACTCCCATCAGGGGCTCCTCGCACATGGGCCCCGACAGAGCCGCCAGCTGGAAGCCGCTGACGACGCTGTTGTCAAAATCTCGCAGCGCCGTAGCTTCGCTGGCTTTGTCTCCGCGGCTCAGACACTGCCACACCGACGGCCGCTGGTATCCCTCCACGCTGTTCAGCAGGATGTTCGGACCGTACCTGGAGACACGGACATCGACAGTGAGGAAGTCTCCGTGGTGCTGCACCTCTTTGTTTGTGTTCATGAAGCCCTGAGGAGTTCAGCTCTGCCTTATTCTCATGACTGCATCTAACAGAGAAAACGAGGAAAAACTCGCACGACTCAAGTCTTCAGAACCTGCATCCAGCAGAAAGAACATTAGAAAGGGAAGTGCTGAGATGCACGACAACAAGTGTTACTGCAAGAAGCTCGCAGACACCATCAGATGCAAATAAACAAAGAAGCAGAATCAGAAAGACGCTCGAGTCTGACCTGCGAGGCCCGAAGGCCCAGATACGTTCCACGGCGTTCCTCCACTTCCTCCCCTGCAGCAGGCTCTCCAGCTGGGCCTTCAGGTCAGAAATGGCCTCCAGGCTCCTGACGCTGATGTCCAGACTCTTCCCCTCCCTCAGCGACATGTTTACCTGCTCCAGAGTCCGAATCACCTCCGAGCTGCTCTCCAGCAGACGAGTCGCCTCTGAAAGAAACCGCCGCATTACTGCCGTATCTTAATGTGATGGTTTAGCTTCACTCGGGCTGTTCTGCCTTATTTGGATTAATCTGGCACTGAAACAAAACTTCTAAACTCTGAAGCATCGCGAGTTTACGTTCAGGCCTGTGACTCCACCCATATTTTCCAAGTTTCATGCAGGAATGATCATCTTTCTACTGCCCAGCATGCAGCTGGCTAACCTTAGCATTTAGCTTACAGACACCATTCACCTCTGCGATCTGTCACATGCACGAGCATCAAGCACGCATCCTGTGATCCGGCGGTGGGTGCGGTTTGGTACAGAAAATAGTTCCTAGATGAAATAAATGTTTAAAATGTGCTGAGACGAGTTTATGTTCTCGGTTCCGGTTTGATCTCGCCACTCGCTGACAGACAGTCGTACAGTGTAAACACAAAGTGTCCCGAGTTTCTCGCTCTAATAAACCAAGACTGTGATGTCATCCACAAAACAACCACTAATGCCATGGAGCCCATGTCCATCTTTTACGTACAGTCTCGTTTCGACCTACATTCTTTGTTTGATGAAGAGATGAAAATCTGCCATCGTTGATGTTCACTGGAGTGATGTTCACTCTTTAAGATGCTCACTGAATGTTTTCTGACTTTTGTTTTCTTGGTTCAAACAAAGAGCTGCACGTTCGACTTCCTGACAGTGAACCAGGAGATCGTTACCAGGTGTGTGGCGCGTGTCCTCGTTCTCACAGACCAAGAGCTACAAACACTTTTGCCCTCAGACGTGGCACACGCCCCGCCCGCAGCCTCTCAGCGCGCTCGCTGCGTGCCTGGGTCTTACCCTGTGGCAGAGGTATCGCCCTGACGCCAACTGTGGCCAGCCTGTTGGGGGTGGTGAGGGTAACGAGGCCGCTGGAGTCCAGGTGTAGGGTGTCGGACGATCGACCCTGAGAGGCCTCTTCTTTGACCTGGAAACAGCCACACGAGAACACTGATTATCTGGAAATGTGATAAATCCGCCCCTTTCCTTCCGGATTCTTCTCCTCAGAGCAACGCTGAACGTTTTTAAACTCCGTCAGCAGACAGTAGAGCTGAATCACAGATTTCATACACTACCCTGGCCTCCAGCTCAGCGACTCACCTGATGAATGATGGCGACTTTCTGCTGCTTGCCCAGCTCCTCGTTCACCATGTCCACTTTGGGAGGACGAACCACCGTCTCTCTGAACGGGATGATGGGCTCAGACGCGCTGATCTCGATTTTAGCAAACCTTTAAAAAAAAAAGCAGAGTGGAGGCTGTTCTCTGTTTTCATAATCAGCCAGTCTGACAGTCTGCAGATAGAGAACAGACACAGGCCATGGCTGTCGCCCAAAGGCAACGGGGCGACAGGATTCGGCTGCTCACAGGTCAAACACATCAGAACTGAAAACCTCGGGCCGCCGTCTGATGACGATTTCATGTTTTATTCAATTCAGTTTTATTGACACAGCGCCAAATCACAACAACAGCCGCTCGAGGTGCTTCATATTGTACGGTAGATCCTACAATAACACATACAGAGAAAAACCCAACAATCACATGACCCCTATGAGCAGCACGTTTTTCAAACACAACATCTGGACCCATTTAACCAGGAAGTCCTTCAGACTAACGTCGTTTTTCAAGGCAGAATAAATCAAACACAAGAACACGTAAAAAACAAGACACAGTGAAAACTTGTCATTTACAGAAGTCTTTATGAGAGCTCTGCACTCTGCAGGGAGACGCAAGCATTCAGCTTCAATGTGCTCTGAAGGTTATTCCAAGAATAAGGAGCTAAATAAGAGAGCGCTGTCCTACAAAGTTCAGGCAAAATCCCGGGAACTCTGAAGAGGAAGACGGCAAATCACAGCAGCTGTGACGTGTTCTGGACGATGCATATTAGTAATGCCGCCATAATCGAAACATTAAAGGAGTCTGTAAGCGTTTTCCTAACTGATCAATTAAAATATCTCAATAATAAAAACTCTGCACTCTGTCCGTCATCCAAACAAATACCCAAATATTTCTGGGATGATACTTTCAATAAAATCTCCTCCGAACATCTGAGGTGTGGGCTGATTTCCAGAAAACAACATGAATCGTCTGCATAGAGTCACTTTAGCCGTAATGGAAAATAAAATACGGCCAAAAATGAAACTTTTTAAAATCTTCACCTTCATCCTCTGGGGTCATCAAGTGGGTGTTCACAAAAATCTGACGTAATCGATCCGATACTTCAATTCTTTTCTATTGACAAAGCACCAAATCACAAGCTCAAAGCACTTTAAACTGTAAGGTGAAACTCTACAATGATACAAGTGATGCTTCCTGCTACAGGATGGAAGAGGATTTAAAAAAGTGGAATGAGTCACTCCACTACAGTAGCTTTGCATGATTCACGGCCCCAAACAACCCTTATGTATCTGATCTGAAATAAGCCTCCCTGTAAGCCAACTTTCTTCTGATTGGCTGCTCCTCACGGTTTGTAAACTGTGCTGAACTGTATGAGGACGCCCTCCTGTGACATCATTCAGAGCCAAGAATAGTGTGAAACTGAGTGTAATTAAAATTAAAGCAAAGATGAAACTCGGAGTGAGGAAAAGTCGCCGGGATACAAAATGTTCCCGGTGGTGTTTTACGCTCGTACAGACTCTGCAGGTGACGGTGCGAATGAAAGCTCCTCTCCAACGGGTCGAGACGGCGTTAAGAGAAACGTCTTTGGAGTCTGTGATTACTGTCACAGCCACGAGTTTAAAGAAACTAATTAATATGAAATATTCTTTCAGATCCGGCTGACAGAGCGAACACAAAAACACGACGCCTCAGAAAGCTGCACGCAGGTAGAGAGAATCTGTCCGGCCCATCAGACGCTTTGCTGCTAACGTTGAGTCGCAGCTTATAAACCAACAACGAGACGCAGAGCTGCTCAAGGAAATGTCACCAGGATCTCAGAGGTGATGGACATCCTCCTTTTCTCTTTGATCATTTTACTGCGCGCTTGTTCGTTCTTGTGACATTCGATGACGTCGCTCTGCACTCTTGGATCCTGCGATGTGCATTTGGGCCGTACACTGAGACGACCGCTTGCTCCCCTCACGTCACACGTGTGGAGCGGCGCAGAGCCGTCTTTCCAATAATAAAATGATTTGTGGGGCATTTTAAAGATTTGGGTGTTGAGTAGAAATGAGTCAGAGCCCGAGCGCCGCAGCAAGGACACAAAGTGTTTCTCTAACATCATTTATACCCGCTGAGGTCCTCCACCAGCAGGCTGCAGAGGACAATCGCACTCATTAGTCTGCCCGTCTGCATTAGAGGCTTTACTGAACAACACAGATGCTTCCTGGCTGACCCCGGGGTCACTGGGTCACTCTGAAAAACACGCCTGTGTTTATATTTGTGCTGAATTAGCAGCGGCACCGAGACAGCGGGGATACTTCCTCGTTTAATCCAGTTATCCACGGTAACAGGTAATCCCTGCTGCTCGCCATCTCACTTAATGAACACCTGAAAAGTTTCTGTGAAAACGCCAAATTGAAAACGTACAGCTCTGTGTGTGTGTGTGTGTGTGTGTGTGTGTGTGTGTGTGCGCTGAATTATCGATCACTGGTGCCCATAAGCACTGAAGACTGGGCACCTGACCTAGTTTTGATGGGAGAGGGTGGGGTGTGGGGATAATCCCCTCGCAGCGGTGGAGCTGTGATGTCACAGTCTTGTGCTCGCCCGTGTGGCAGAGAACAGCGCCGACCTTATTCTGAACGTGATGCGCTGCGTGCCAGCGCTTACGTGGAGGGCTCAGGCTGCCGACACATCAACAAGTCACCCAGCCAGCCAATCAGACACTTTATGAAGCAGGTAGCTCGCCATCAAGTCACATCACCAGCCAAAATGTAAGCCAATGATCGAGCCATCCATCCAGCCAATCAGCCTTCATCTGAGCCAAGCAGGCAGCCAGCTGGCCGGTCAGCGATCCGCCGTCCTGCTCTGCCATCTCTGTCCCGAGCTGTCTGGCCTCGGCTCTAAACATAGCAGCAGCAGCGCTGCACGCGGCCTCGTTTCCTCAGCTGGAATCCCACAAAATCAGAGCAACAGGCAGCGCGGAGCGAGCCTCATGAGCGACTCTGCGCTGACGGACCCGCCGCACAAAGCCAAGAACCCCCCAACCCCCCAGCAAAGAAGAGATCAATCAATCAATTTATTTATAAGCACTTTTAAAAACAGGTTGACTAAAGTGCTGTAAAAAAGTAGCTCAGACACACAAAGAACAGAACAAACCAACCACGGAGATCCAGAGCTTTCATCTTTATATGTAATAAAAGGACGAGATGCTACAATCCCTGGTTAGGATAAGGGCTGTCCCCACAAGATATGAATACCCAACGTGTGTGTGTGTGTGTGTGTGTGTACTGTATGGGGTATTTTCTTGCACAGTGTTACATCATCCAAAGTGATTTTACTCGTCGGTCAGTGAGAGTGCATTGTGCTTTCGACTTGAGCTCTTACCAATCAGTGTCTGCAAGAGTGCGTCCTTAAGTAGCACCAAGGCTGAAGCAGTCATAAAACATTTATCCATGAAACTCAAAGCCTGGGTGGAGCAAACGGTGGAAAAGGCAAAACCCAAATAAACAGAGGCCGATTTGAAAAGCTCGGTGCGCTCTGACGTCAGGAGCTGTTGGAGGTGCAAACTCAGATCAGTGTGGCTCACAGGTGACAGGTAAGAGGAAACTCCACTAAATGTATATCACTACTGCAGATTTGCATTCTCCTGCTAAATAATTATAAAATATAATCGATAATAACATTTTAAAGAACATAAATATTTAGTCTGTGACACAAACCGGGCGGCAACAAACCAGGAGACGCACAGAAACACAATTACATGAAAGAAACCCAAAGAGGAACACGTCAGCCCTTGTGTACCAGTATGTAAAACACCACAACCATTAGACACCATCTCCTGGACTGGTTCCAGTCAGAGCCGCCCTGCAGACTCTGCATCCAACATGGCGGAGCCGGAGCTTAAACCCAACAGCGAGCCGAGCAGCCGGCCTGAAGCGAAACGTTTGACAGGACCGGACAGAGCTGTCTGCTATGACAGGAAGCTCAGAATATGAGTGAGTGTGTCGGCCAATAGGAACACAAGAACCCCCCCAAAAAAGGACAAAGCAGCAACGTGACAACTGTGGCGCACACAGCGGGCGGTTACCGACGCACTGAAAGACGATGACCTGGTACACCGATATAATGCATGTGGGCGACCCACCTGAAAACACGTCTCTGATAGCTGCACGCCGCTGCAGCCGTGCAGCAACAACAACACTGTTGTGTGATTGGACACAACGCGCAACAACGTTGTTGTTTTTCCTGTTATTATAAATCTAAAATCGATCCACAAAAACAGGAGGTTCTTAAAAGCTGAGCCTGAACTTGGATCTGTACTCAGGTCCTCGTCTGCAGACGCAAAACATCAAAACACATTTGTGTGAGTTCAGCTCCACAGACGCCGCAGAGTCGGGCCTGCGATATTACAGGGAGGAGGTGCCTTTTAAAAAGCATCAGAAGGGCACGTGTGATTGACCACGAAGGCCACCAGCTGAAACTGCCCCCCCCAGCGGGTCATACCATTCTCTACCCAGGTACTGAAACAGCACCTGCCAGAAAAACACCAACAAATGTGGCAGCGTGCCCCGATCACACGGTGAGCGACACGCTCCGCTGCCCGCCGAACCCTCGCTCATCCAGCTTTACTACTCGATGATTTGCCACCAGACAAGATTCTTCATATCCAGCATGTGTCTGCGATGAAGGCGGCGAGCTCTCCGCAGCCCGAGCGCTCCTCTGCAGGGACGGGATACCCCGAGAGGGGCCCGTTCCTCTCTTTGGCTCTCAGCAATCAGGCCTACACGGCGGAGCGGCTGGATGGGCGTCACTCCCGAGTCACATTATAGGCCACCTGGAGTTTGCCAAATAGCTCTGAGAGCCGTCTGAGAGCAGCAGGAAAAAGAATCTCTGAGGTGATGAGAAAATTCAGGCTCTCCAGCCTGACTGCCCGCCTGAGGTCTGGTGAAAACAATGCAGCACTCATCGCTGGAGTAATGATGTCCCTGTGATGGAGCATGTTCAGGCAGGATCTGGGAGACAGGCCAGTGACTGGAGCCAAGCAGAGAGAGGTCCTTGAGAAAAACTTGCTCTGCTGAATCATTTGCTTGCAGTTTATGTCTTACTGTGTCTGCGGGGGTTTTATTCAGAAC